GTCATCGAGGTCATAGTAGTACCCTGATGGCAGAAATAGAGACACTGAGCCAGGCTCTGAACTCAGGATGCTCCGTGGGCATGTGCACCTGGGGGCATGTGAGTGAGACTACAGCCCTGAGACTCTCAGGGCACCTATGAGAACCCTTGCTAAGAGGGCCTGCTTTCTTCCAGTATGCCTGGACACCTGCGGTGAGCTAAGGATGACAAGCACTGAGCTTCTGTGAGACTCAGAGAAAGGGATGCTCCCTCGACCAAAAGTGGAGCATGCCTGACAAAGGCGCGGTGTCCACCGTTGTGAACATGTTGTGAGCGTCATGAGAAGGCAACTTAAAACTATGGCGCCCCCATTCCCTTTCAAGGCGAACTGATAGAAAACTCCCAGCCAGGCCCTACAGCTAGTACGACTAGCACTCAAGAAGATGGCCTATATCATCCCCAGCTATAAGGAGCTAGGTGCAATACCAAACAGGCCAATCAATTCCAGAGGAGACAAGACTGGCCTGGGGCAGTCATCCCCATCAGCTGTGCCACAGCCCCCACTGGCTCTTCTGGCCTTCTTGGGACCTCAGAGAACTGCTGTTTTCACTTTGGGGGGGCAGGAACAACAGCTGCGGTCCCTTAGTTCCTGGTGCACATGCCAGTTACCGTCACCAGCCTACACGTGTAAAGCTCTGCTGGGCCATTCCTCTGTTAATGTCACACTATTAATATTTCAAGATACCTGATTATAGTCTCCACCCATCACCTTTCATAATGTACAGCCATGGCACGGTCTGGTGGCAGGCTGTAGCTTGCCATTTTGGGATAATGTGCCTCACAGCAGGACAGGCAAGGGGTCCTGAAACCAGTTTTTACAAACTGCACTGGAGAATCGAATGGGAGAAGAAAGGCGAGCAGCTGGCACCGGGGTCTCCTGTCCTGATCGCCCCCCTCAACCCCCGCAGGTCGGGACCCACTCAGGAGCCAGACCTTTCTCCTGAGCTTCGCGCCGCCTGCGCTCCTCCAGGTCCAGCTTGCTGACCAGTCTCCGGCGTTGCTGAAGAAACTCGTCATAGATGTATGCTGGGTCAGGGCCCCGTGGTGTGGGGTGGCAGTAGGGCGAGCCTGGCTTCAGGGGCCCACTGAGCTCCCCGAAGGGGGTTGCCTGGGAAAGGGAGGGCCGTTGCTGGCCCAAGATGTTCTGTGTTGATTTCTCAAGTTCCGCAAGGAAAGGCCCAGGTCCATGGGGAAAGGTCTGAGGTTCCAGACTTCCTGTCTCCCGCGGTGGTGGTTGGTATTTGTCCAGTGGTGTGGCCTCACGCTTCCGGGGCTCCTCTGTCTTCTCCGTGCAATAGACACGCTCCACTTTTACCAGCGGCACGGCCGCTGGACGGCTCGGCTCAAAAGCAGTCTGGTGACTGTGCAGAGAGTGGCTCTCAGCCCGCCGCGTCTCCAGGGTATTGTCCATCAAAGACACTGGGTTCCAGAGGGCTGTGGGCACAGTATGGTGCTGGGGCTTGGGTGAGATGAGGGGTGGTGGCCCACCAAAGTGCTGTGGGGGTTCACGGTTGCTCTGGTCATGCCGGTTTGGTCCTGGCCTGGGAAGAACATACTGACTCATCAGTGATGGGAGCAGATCTGCTTACCAGCTTCCTATAGCACACCCAAGGTAACTTGCTGGGCTACCCAGACTGCTTGTGAATACAAATCCCTATGAGGAGAACTGACCCTACCTTCGCAGAGTCATTTCCTCCTGGAGGTGAAGCTCTGACATCACAGCCCTTCCTCCAGATCTATCAAGTATGGGCGTGAGGGCAGGCTAGAGATGAGTCAGGGACACTAGCTTTGGGTGTCCACCTAAGCCCAGGACTTCCCACAGGAATGGTGGCTGTGCTGTTGCCCCCCTGTGGTCCCTGTCAGAACTGCAGCAGCCCCAGAGCAGCAGCTTGCCTCAACAGGTGTGCTGCTCTTGCCCAGTCTGCCCAGGACCCTCACCCCTTCACTATGCCATCCATGACACCCTCAAGGCCCAGGTGGAGCTAAACCTGCAGGCTTCTTTCTCCAGCAGGCTACTACCGAGATACACAACTAGTCAACATACAGACCCCTGGTGCCCTGGGGACCCAGTCCTGATTGGGAGTCTACAATGCAACTCCCACACCTAAGACTCAGGGAGCACTGGAGAAGCCAAAGTACCAGGACTCTTCTAGTAGGCAGTGCCATCTAGACACGACAGGGAAGCTGTCACCTACACAAGGCTTGCAACACCAGCGGACATGCCAACAACACAGACGTTCTCACAAAGCCCCACCGCTACAGGAAGAGCCACAGGCAATCCATGGCTGCTTCGAGAGGAAGAAACATCCAGGGACAAGCAACCTGGTAAGTTATCCAATCCTAAGTGGTCAGCCCTAAACTCATGTAAATAAGAGCAACACAAAATGGATGTGTATATGCGGAACAGTAATAGTTACAGAAGGGTCATGACCTTGCGGTGGCACAGGAGGAGTTGGGAGGGAGGGGTGGGAAAAATGTGAAAATAGCACTCCACATGAATGAATTATCAAAAATTTTTAAAATTTAAAAAGAGACTCTTTGATGCATCTTAACAGAAAAACCAACCTATAACAGTTTCAGGAGCTTCTCCAAAGCTTAACACTTCTTTGAGGGTGACACGGGCTGCTTAGACCCATGCTGTCCAATGGGCCATTGCTAGGCTCCTAGGGTCTTCCCTGGTTGGCTGGGGCACCATTTAACACAGCCGCCAGGGCTACTCCCCACTCCTCCTGCCGACTCAAGCCTAAGATGCAGAGTGCAGCATTAATCTCCCTTCAAATTCAAAAGTAAAGGGATAAACACACCACATAACAGAACCAAACAAGAAAGAGTTCCTAGCTAAGGGTACGTGGCCCTGCACCTTCTATAGCCCTGCGAGACTAGGCTGGCCCCTGCGTGACATGAGAGCCCGAGTGGAGATGGCTGAAGAGCCGGAGCACTTGAGCTTGACTCGTGTTCAAGACTAGCGAGGCCTCCCTCCACTGTGCGAGGTGTAGAGGGCCAGGGTCGGGCATCTTGGACACTTCCAATTGCAGCCCTTTCTCAACATGGAGGACAGGAGTACGAGGAGCCGAGACTTAACAATGTCGGGGTACTTGTGTCCCAGACAAGAACCAAGATGCTATGCCAAGGGCTGGAGTGGGGCAGAAAGATGAAGCAGGGACAGGAGTGCAGACAGACAGACTCTCTCCCTCCATCCCCGACCTCTGAACGAGAAGCACCCGCCTCACGCAAGGTCCCACTCAGGACCCACCTGGTGCTCTCAGGCCTGTGTTCCACCTCTGTGGGCACCGGGGGCCGGCCCAGGTCTAGGTGCTGCTCCAGCACCTGTTGCCGGAACTCGGACACTTGGGACTGGCGGTCTTCCTTCTCTTGCCGCAGCCGCCGCTGGCGTGCCAGCCACTTCTCCTCCTCGTTGGTGCGCTGGATCAGCAGGGCTGTGGCGGCGCTGTTTCCCGGTAGAGAGAAGATGCCGTGGCTGGAGATAAGGCTGGGCACGGTATGGTGCGGGGCAGGCACTGGGTGCAGTGGATGCTGCACAGGCTTGGGTGCCTGCAAGCCCACATCCTTCAGCTTCTCTGTGGGAAGAAACATTGTCACTGCAGGAGGCCAGCACCCTCACCCCTGCTCGAGGCCCATGACTGAAAGGGTCTTGTAGGGCTTTCAGAAAACGTGTCTCATCTTCGGAGAGAGGAGATATCTGTGGCTGGCTCACAGCACATGGTTACATTTTTAGGACTCATGGAGGCAGTTGTTAAAACGGTCATAAAAGTAGCTGAATTACAGAGATTTTCATCAAATAAATTATATTCAGAACAAGGTTGGGATAGCTCGTGCCTGTGCTCCCTACATTCGGGAAGCTGTCACAGGATGACTGCTATGAATATGAGGTAAACCTGAGCTCCAGGCTAGCCTTGGACACATAGCTATGACATATAATCTTGACTAAACAAAACAAAACTGGGTATCTCAACAGTAGAGTGCACAGTGCACAGCAGTATAGTATTAGACCACAACTGGCCTAACTTGTGTGGCTCGGGCCTCTACCATCAGCACAGCAAAAGACAAAGACAAATCAAGGTCCCACAAGCAGTGACATTACTTCCCTCCCCAGTGCTTCGGGCATCTTTAGGGGCATCTTGGGCTCCTACATCTACCTAGGGTTCCATGGCACACCTCTTCCCAGTTTGGTGCTCAGTGTTTTGCCAGCTGCAATGGGACAGTGCCCCTCACATGCCAGGTAGGCACAGGTCTTGCCCTCCACACAGTCTGCTCAGGTACCTGTTCGGGTTGGGGTCAGCTGCTCTGAGGGCTTGGGCCGCTCCTCAGTGGCATGGCCCCGGAGTCCATGCAGCTCGGCCACAGGCAGGAAGGTGGGCTCCAGCGCCTTGGCAGCCAGCAGGTCCTTCTCCCTCGCCCGCTGTTCACGTTGTCGCTCCAGTTCCCGCTCCCGCTCCTTCTCCCGTTCTCGTTCCAGCTCCTTCTCCCGCTGCTCTCGCTCCCGCTCCCGTTCCTTCTCCCTTTCTCGGTCGGCCTCCCGTTCGCGCTCACGCTCCCGTTCTCTCTCCCTCCGCAGCTCTTCGTCCATTTGCAGCCTGGGGAACAAGCAGGGGGCAACATGTTGAAGGGGATGTGCAGTAGGGGCAAGTCCATGTCCCAGCTCAGAGTGGGGCCAGCCAGACAAAACCCTCCTCCTCTCACCCACACATACGGAGTGCTGCCAGGCCAAGGCCTGCTTAGGACTGAAGTATGCTCTACTGCTGTTCCCTTGCCTGGAAGCACAGCTTACCTCTCTGCGCTGAGGCTCGACATCCGCTCTGAGTGCAGCGCGGCCAGGGACGAGTGTGAGAGTTCAGGTGGGTAGCGGACCCCAGAGAGATGCAGGTGCATAGCTGATGGGTGCAGTGGAGGCAGGGAACCAGGGGTGGGGATGGGGTAGAACGGAGACCTTAAGGCTGATAGGCAATAGGAGTCATCCATCCTGCAGAGAAAGATGGGAGTGGTGTGTGCCAAGGCCGCAGTCACAAAGGATAAGCCTGCCTGGCGGATGTGAAGCTCTGAACTGAGTCCCTACCACTGCAGAAAAAAAGCTGAGACCCAGGCAGGCGGACAGATACTTCTCTGCTAGATGAGGCCACTAGGAATCGGCCACATTGGCACCAAGGACCTCCCAGATCCTAGGAAAGTGGGCAAAAAGGGCAGACTGGCTGCAAGCAGAGGCCTCTGGTGTGACACTGGGACAAGGCCAGTCAGGCTAGGAGTCTGCAATTAAGAGGGGATGACTCTCACCATGGTCTCTGTCACACTGCCTGTCCACATTCATAACGTACTGTTTGTTAGTGGTTACTGGCTGCTGGGAGGCTGATGTTGGGAGACGTGGGAACTGGGGAGCAACAGCAGGTGGTTCAACTGAGGGCCAGCAGATATGTTTGGACGAAACTCAGCTGGGACCCGGGGAAAGCTACAGGGATGGACCAAGTCTCTCGAGTGTCTGGCTTCAGGCCCTGGCAACATCTGACCCAGCCCAAGAGGTTCTGTCTTACTGAGGACACAGCGCGTGGACAGCGTGTGGGGGATGTCTCACCTGAAGGCTGGGTGGGGGAATGGGTGCGGGGCCAGGTAGCTGGGGTGATAGTAGGCAGCAGCGGTGGCTGGGTCCAGGCCAAGCGGAGGCAGGGAGGACATGCGTAGGTCCTCGGCAGTGTGATAGGGCCGGAAGCTTCTCAGGTAGTCCTCAGTCACAGTGCTCGGGGGCACCACGTGGTGTACAGGCCGCTGGAGGCTGCAGGAGAAAAGGCAGGTGAGCAGAGAACCCACTTCGGGCTGGGAAACAGGTCGCACTCCCGAGGCTGCCCCTGACCCCACCTCCCGTCAGGTTCAGTTCCTGTCTCTCAATAATGAGGTGCAGTCTTGGTACAAGGCCCAGCCCTCAGACCTACCAGGCCCTTAAAGTTCCCACCGGGGAACATAGCTGCTAGAGGAGCTCTCCGTCCCCAGACCCAGAGGATGGGTTTAAATGTGGTTAGGGCAAGGGCTATGTCTCAGCATGGAGTGCACCACAAGCTCAGATGGGGCCAAGGACCTCGGGGCAGAGCAGGCCACAGAGGCTAAAAGCAGCACTCTACGCCAGCAGGTGCAAACTCCAAGCCTGCCTGAAGTCACTCCATGTCCTCCTTAGTCTGGCACTTACTTGAGTGGTTGGAAGCGGGAGTCCTGTACAACTGAGCTGGGGGAGAGGCCAAAGGGGTAGGGGGTGCTGAGCAAGTGGGAGGGGATAGCTGGGCCTGCCGCCTTCTCCTGGGCTAGAGGAGGTTCCACAAGCAGGCGCTCCCGACCGCTGCTGCTGCCTCGTGAGGCAGAGTCCTGCGAGGAGAAGAAGCAACATTAGGGCTTGGGGAGCCAGCCAGGTGCACAGAAAGGCCACTGTTTAGCTCATATTCTAGAAACATCCTTCCTCTAATGTTGTCTTTACACACACACACACACACACACACACACACACACACACACACACACACAAAGGTGGTATTCAGGGAAAAGGCATGGGGTAAGGTAAGTGTGGCTTCCCACGAGCAGGTCTTGACTAAGGTCTACCAGGGCCTGGCTCTGCCCCCGAAAGGGACTCAGTGATGCCTCAGACTGCTGAGTCCCAGACAGGGCATGTGAAAAGGATCTGCAGGATAGGGAACCCCTACTTCCCACAACCAGTCCCACACGGGGTAGTCATGGGTCACAGCATACACTCTGGGGACCTGCAACTTAGGAAGGGCTTCTCCCAAGAAGCTAGCTGTGTTAGCAGCCATCCAGGACTCCGGGGACACTCTTGCATGCATTTCGGCTGGGGGCCCCAGGAGAGGCTCACTTCAGGCACAAAGTGAGAGATGGCAGCAACCCAGGGTCTGGAAAGATCTAGCTTCACAGGTGTCCTCTATACACAACTAAGGCGGCGTCCAACCTGGAGAAACCAGACCAAGCAGCCCTGCCTACCTGTGACTAGGAAGGAAAGCTCATGGTAAAGCAGAGCGGCACCACTGGGAACATGGGAAAAACAGAGACCATCATTTAAAGAGACCTGGCAGCGTTCTCAGGTCCCTCCCTCACACTGCAGGTCAGAGGCCCAGCATGAACAGCCAGCAGTACACAGGGCCCTCTTGCTGATATTTGCTGAACCTCTAAGTCCGACTCTAAGGAACATAGTAGCCAGCACCACAGACTGTCTTGGAGACAGGCCTGCCAGCCCTTCCTAAACTAATGTCTTGTTCTCCAAGACTGTGGTGGCACCCCCAGGTCAGTCAGCACCATGAGGGTGTCGGTCACTGAAGCATATGTGAAGCCACAAGGGGGAGGGGTTACTGTTGTATCACAGCTAAGCCTGTGTGAACTGAGGGGGCAGTTTACCATAGCACCCTCCAGCTCCATTCTCCCAGAGCCTAACACAAACCCTCCTGCTCCCCGCAGACAGACAGCCACGATTAATTGAGGGAGACAGGCTGCTGATTGAATTTTTAATGAGCAGCAACATCTGTTTCCTTCCCAGAGTAAAGCAGCAGGCTGTCTCAGTTCCCTGTGGGGTCCTCATGGGTTCATGACCTCTGACCTGCCCGTCTCACGAGGGACATTCACACAGTATCATAAAAATGGGGGGGGGGATGCATTCCAGCCACACCAGGACAAACAAGGAGACCCCAGTCTCCCCAGAATGGCCATCAGGCTGCTGGGGGCACCGCATCCTCTCTCTCATCAGGGCCTGGCTGAACTTGAGCCAGACACCAGGGAAATAGCTGGGAGCTAGGGTGCTGCATGGGTGATGAGGGACAGGAAAGACCAAGCTTGGTGGCCGCCCAAAGGCATTGCGCACCGGTGGCTATGGCAGACAAGACACATCTGCAGAGCTGTTTGACACAGCTGCATCCATGAAAGGCAGCGGCTGGGGGAGGAGGGAGCTGTCATTCTCCAGTGATTAGAGCAAGGTCTCCACAGTTGGGCAAGTGGGACATGCCTGTTAGCTTCAAAACAGACCGCTTTTCATTTCATCTCTCCTCGTGCGGCTTCTACTGCCTGGTCACCCCCTGAGAAGGGCCCCGGAGCCACCTCCCCCTTGACTTCCAACAGTGGATGTAGCCTCCAGAGGCTCCTAGTGACTCATGGCCACACTGCAGGGAGAGCCGTATCCCCGCTCTCCTGGAAAGGATTAAACTCTCTGCTGAGCTCTGAGCATCATCTGCTCATCCACCGCGCTTGTCGCCCTCCCTGGTGGCACGCAGGTCTCATTAACTGCAGCGTGAACTGCTGGAGCGGAGCCATCACGGCCCTTCTCTGGGTTACTAAATGTTTCTGAGGCGGTAAGGACCCTCTGAGGACAGTGACGGGCTCCAGGCACAGCAGTCACGAGGCAGAGGCACAGGGACAGGGGATATGCATATGCACACATGAGGTGTCTTGGACCTGGGCCAAGGGCTCCAATCAGTGAAGGCTCCAGGTTCAAGGCAGGAACAGGAAGTGTCCTGCAAGCTTCTCTCAGGAGCGAACCCAGAATCAGGTAGTCACCAGGCAGACCGGCTGCCCAGGGAAGGGAAGCTGTTTGGAGTTTTCCGTCAGCCGCGGTCAGGGCTGAGCTCTAGGAGTCCACAGACAGGAGATCTGGGTAGCAGCTTCTTCAACCTCCTTAACCAGGAGAGGGTGGTTCTAGGCTGCTCTGAGTCAAGCTGAGATTCAGGGACAAACTGACTGACAGGCTTCCCAGGGTAAATGCTACAGCAGGTTCAAGAAGAAGGGGCCAAAGCTGGCCCCAAACTTCTTTCTGGAGCCTGCTGGACTCTTGGAGCACTGTACTGGGGACCAGGGACACCCAGCAGACCGGTGGGGCAGATGGAGGTCACACTCTGCCTTTCCTGCCCCAGCCTAGCTGGGGAGAGGTGCTCCCCTCCCTTCCCCCTCCATCTTTGTGGTTTAATTAGTACTTCCTAGCAGTACAATCCCTCTGGGAATGGGGCTGGAGAATCCAGGGAAAGCCACAGCTGACAGCGGTTCTTAATTAGCCAGGCCCCTCCGGGCGGGCGCCAAGCGGGTGGGAGGCACAGCAGAGTAAAGGGGAAGCTTCAGGCACTGCCTTCTCCAGTCCAGTAAGCTTAGTACGTGGCCAGCTGGGAGGCTGCAGGCGCACAAGACCCTTCACGCTGGGATCAGGCACTAGGACTATCAGTTGGCTTACACTCTCATCCCTGATCCCTAAAAGCAGGGATAGCTGTGGTCTACCCAGGGACCCAAGGCTCAGATACCACCTTAGGCACTTTACTACCCCCTCATCTCTCAGCCTGATGCCTCTGGGTAAATCTGTCTACACAGACCCCGAAAGAAGTGATTACAGTCAAGGCCACCAGAGGACACAGTAAGATACCATCTAAAAGTAAAGGAGCCCCCCCCCAACCAGCCCCTCCCCTCCCTCTATGGCCTCCTAAACCAGGTTATGTGTCTGCTGTACACAGCCTGATGTAAGGATAACCTTAATCCGAGCATCTTCCAGTACTTGGTGCACATTAAGTCCACCTTGCAGAAGGGTCATCCTTGCCCACAACCTCAAGTTCCTGACAGCTGTGGACAGAAGTCAACTCTCTTCAGGGACATCCCCTGACCCCATTATGTCTACATTTCTGGACTGGGCCACTCCAGTCCACTCACCTGGCGGCTCTCACTTCTCCAGACTCCATTGACGGTTTTGGTGGGGGCAATAGTGACCACAGGAGGAGTGCTGGGGACACTGTGACCCCCAGGTGGGACAATGATGGGACCCATGGGCACTCTCTTGGGCGTGCTGGCTGGAGAGCTATGGTTGGTAGCTGGGGAGGACACAGGGGACGATTCGCTGCTCAGTGAAGACCCTGTGGAAAGAGAACACGGAAGCTTAGGAGCTACATCACCGCCATGTTGCCCACTGCACCCACACTTCTGCAATTCCAGAACTCTCACTGTAAGTGAAGCCCCAGGGTGGCCAGGCAGGGAAGCACCCACGGCTATTCTGGGTGGGCTCAGTACGGTCCTCTGCACCCAAGGAGAGCGGGAAGCAGAGGCCAGGTGTGGCCAGCAGCTTGGTCTCCTTAAGTACTGGGCAGCTTTGCTGGCCTCCCTGTCATACTGCCTTTTAGACCTAGAGGTGGGCAACTAATTTTAAATGTAAAAATCTGAGATGTAATTCACTAGTTTAAAACCATATCAACATGCTTCAGTATGCCCACCATATTGAGTGAATACTAGAACAGCCTCGTCCCAGAGAAAGACAACATTCCTTCTTCCACATCGCGAGAGAGCAGGCAGGAGTGGGGATGGGCAGCTTAATTCTTGGGGTATCATTCCCACTAGGACATGATAGTTGGGGATGACTTCAATCAGATGGCCAATGAGGACATTGGGACAGAGCTTTGCTCTATGTGAGTAGACACGGCCTCTGGCTGGGGCAATTCTGCCACCTGCAGAAACAGCTTGTATAATTATGCAGAGCAGCCCCCTCCCCAAACAGTTCCCAGTCAAGCAAGCAGCCCTCTTATTCACATGCCTACCTACCAGGGTCTGACCCAGGTGGGCAATGGGGACTGAGAGCCATAGCCTAAGGAAGAAACCCCCTAGTTCTCAATATGGCAACAAACCCACTGCCCATACCCTAAGAACTCTGCAGTCTCTGCCCCATGGCTGGGCAGGGAAAACTGCTACAGTGATAGCCCAGGAAAAGGCTTCTAGAATCTGAAGCAGGCAAACCACAGGGTTGGTGCAGCCAGGCCTGGGGGCTGGCCCTGAGAACCTTGGGAACAAGCTAGCTATCATTCATGAGTCAGGGGAGGGTTTGGCATTCAGCAGGAGGGCACCCCTCTGTGCAGCTGAGAAATCCTGCTGTCCACGAAGAGCCAGGCAGCAATACCCTAGGCCTGCAATGCCAACCCAGGTATAGGTCCAAAAGTGAGGGCCCCTGTCAGCCACAGACCTTGAGAAAGTCCACGCAAGTATGACATGAGTCAAGCCTGCAGCCACACTAAGTGTAACTAAGGTTACACTATGTCCTAGCCTGGCCTGTTCTATAACAGAACAAGAGAAGCCCCTCCAGAGAAGCCACCAGGAGCAGAAAGAGCCAAACTGAGCACACCGTTGGGGTACAATCACCTTGTTCAGGGACACAGTGAGACGGGGCCAACTTTTCAGACAGGGTCTTACTACACAGCCCAAGCTGACCTGGTACTCACAACCAGGTGTCTCTTCCCAAGCCAGACTTAAAAACTCAAATCACTTTCAGGAATTCTAAAATTCCTCAAATAGCAATCTGCTTGGGTTTGCCACCATCCTTCCCAGGAGGCCCATGGTATAATGCACATGTCTTACAGGCTGTCGATTTTTACATGTTTGTGTGCAGGTGCACATGTATGCGAATGTGCGTGCAACGGTCAAACTACAACTTTGAGTGGATGCCTCAGGAGCAATGCTCACTCTGTTGTTGGTTGTGTTGTTGTTCTGTTTTGGTTTTTCAAGACAGGGTTTTTCTGTAGCTTTAGAGCCTGTCCTGGAACTAGCTCTGTAGACCAGGCTGGCCTTGAACTCACAGAGATCCGCCTGCCTCGGCCTCCTGAGTGTTGGGATTAAAGGCGTGCACCACTGCTGCCCGGCTCACCCCCTTTTTTAAAGATAAGATCTCACTCTAGAGCCTTGGCTGGTCTGGACTCATGGCAATCCTCCTGCCTTTGAATCCTGAGATGAAAGGTGGAGCCATTTCAGCAAAGCCACTCTGCATGCATCACCACCATCAATCTGAGAACACTTTTATAACCTCCCAAGAAACAGGCGTGCAAGCCTTCAGCCATGTCTGCTCCACCCCTGCATCCAGCTGTCTGTGTGGGCAGATTTGCAGGCCCTGGGATTCCCCGGCCCCTCCTGTTTTATGGTGTTCCCTGCACCAGAACTCCATCCATACTTCAGGGTTGCTGACCTTCACACCAAGGAGAACTAGTCACCAATTTCTCCGCCAAAGCTACCTGGAAGCTTCTGTGAGTAGTAGCTACCTCACACGGCACAGACACTAACACATAGGCAGGGAACATGCTATCTGCACGCCAGAGTGGAAACAGTTAACACTTGCACATAGAAGGCCACCAGCAGTGAAAGCGATGGGTGTCTCACACTATCCAGCTTGAGGGTAGGTGGATGGAAGCGACCCTTCTCAGTAAACAGAGACCTCCCAGCCCCTTTGTGCCTCAGTCTATATGGGAGGAACCCCCAAGGCAGTTAGCTCAGCTGAGCTCCACCCTGCTCCTCCCCATCCTAGCCCAGACCGGCAGGGGACTAGTGCAGGGCAGGATCTGGCGTGGGGCTGGCTTAGAGAGGATGAGGCTGGCCATGGACAATTAGCAGCCTAATCCCATTGGAGGTGGGAGGCCAGCGCTCACCAGCAAGAGCCTTGGGATCAATACCTCACAAGGCGCTGCCAATTAGTGAGGCTGGCGCCTGGCTCCCAGCCCTGTGCTCTCGCTGTGCCGCTGGAGCAGGCAGGTCCGCCATCACTGTAATTAACCGACGCTATTCAGCCGGAATGGCGGAGTGGGTCAGAGAGCTGGAGACAGCCTGCAGATGAAGAGGCGCACGCTGCCTGTGTCACCTTTGCTGCCTGATCCCACAGATCAGGCCAAGACCCTATGGGTGGCGCATGTCATTAACAGCCGAGCCCCCAAAGACAAGAGCGTGGGCAGCCCTAGCCAGCTAGTATAGATACAGGCGTAACTACAGACAACTGCTGAGCGTCAACAGAACAGTCTCTCTTCCTGAATACGTATGTGTGTGTTTGTGTGTGTGTGAGTGATTTCAAGGGTCTTTCTTAATTGTTCTCACTGTATTCATTGAGTGTCTGATGGAACCTGGAGCTCAACTGATGTATGTAACTGGCTAGCTTGCCCCGACATCCTTCCATCTTTGCCTCCTAGGGAGCTGAATTCAGGTCCTCACATGAGCACAGCGGGCACTTTATCCCCAGCTCCCAAAGCCACAGGCCTGGGCCCAGCCAACAGGAACACAGGAAGCGAGGAGGGTAAGGGCTGTCCCATGTATCTGCGGCTTGACTTTGTGGCACAGTACCTTGCTCAGCAAGGGAAAGGAAGAGTTGCTGAGCCAACACGGTATCAGAACAAGCCCGAGTTGCTGAGCCAACACAGTATCAGAACAAGCCCGAGGCTCCCAAGGATGGCTTGAACAGACACAGCCTACCCCTTCTCATGTGATGGAAATAGGGTGAAGGATTCTGGGACAGTTAGCAAGTCTACAGAGGGTCTAGTTCCAGCCTCTGTGAAGAAAGGACTCACCGAGTCCCGTCGCCCCCCAACCACAGGGCAGGCAAGCCCAAAGGTCCCTGCACCTGTTCTTATGGCCACTCCTGTCAGTATCCTCTCTGTCCCCATCAGCTCTGACATAGCCTCTGAGTAGGGAAAGCTGTCCTGCTATGCATTCCAATGCCAGAGTCATTCTGAAAGCCTTGTGATGGGAAGCCATGTTGTCCCTGCAGCCTGCTGTCCGGGCTGGTAGAGGGATCTCCCATCTCAGGGACTGTTCCTCTCTTCCCCATAGACTTGAGCTACTGCCACCGGCCAGTATGGGAGGGGGGCACATGTCACGGGATAAGAAAGAAAGTCCAGGGGCTGGAGAGATGGCTCAGCGGTTAAGAGCATTGCCTGCTCTTCCAAAGGTCCTGAGTTCAATTCCCAGCAACCATATGGTGGCTCACAACCATCTGTAATGAAGCCTGGTGTCCTCTTCTGGCCTGCAGACAGAATACTGTATACATAATAAACAAATAAATAAATATTTTTAAAAAAAAAAAAAGAAAGAAAGTCCAACCAGCTCTATGGTCAACTGCTGCATGGGGAAAGTGAGTGCTGGCAGTGAAGGACCTAGGACCAAGGCACAACGACCCCAGGCAGGGAAGCCTCTGGAGCCCCACAACACCCAGGCATGCAGCAGCAAACACTAGAGATGGCATCAGTCATGACTGCAGCTTTGAGGAGAGACAGCCAAACAGAATCACAGGGTGGCCATGTGCTGCTGGACAGGCCTCGCCTCCTGCTCCGCCAGCAGGTCTTCATGCATGCTGCACACCTGAGGCTGGGTGGCCTCGGTGCCCAGCTGTGAGCGAAGGGGGATGTTGGCAGCTGCTGAGGTCCTGTACCCAGGACCAGTCATTAAACCCAAGTCAACAAGGAGGAAGGTGCTGAGATTTCAGAGGAACGCTTTCCAGGGCTACTCGACGGGCAAAACATGACTGCAGCACACAGCACAGATCCGGAAGAACGGAGGAGCTGGGAGGAGTCAGCAAGAGTCCCCTGGGTTGGGCTCTGTCCCAGTGCCAATCTGTAAGGACCCTGGATGGGCGGTGTAGAGAGAGTGAGGAAGGGAGGCAGCAAAGGAGGCCTGGGGAGGGAAAACGACGGGATGTCACCCTGGCACCAGCCTACTTGCCTCCTGTCACCTGGGCCATCTGTGGCTACAGACTCTTCCCGCCCTTCCTGGCCTCTAGCACGAGAGCTAGCCCCACTGCTCACACCTGAGCCACAGACAGACGGGGGTCCAGACACCCACTGAGATAGATGCCTCAGCCCTGCCTGCCAGCCTCAGACTGACAGGCAGGCAGGCCCGCCAGGCAGGCCATTTGTTTTGTTGCTTTCTCTGAAAGAGGCAGATTTACAAGGAGATGTGCAGCCTCTACCCAGCCCACCCTGTAGCAGACGTGCAAGCAGGTGGGGGCTTCCTGCCTCAACACAGAGAGGTGTTCTCCAGCCTCGGCCTCTCTGGGGGCTGGATACGGATTGCATCTACCACCCACAGTAACTAGATGCCCCTGGGTTACAAGGTCTGCAACAAGACAGGCAGGCGGCGAAGACTAGCCGAAGGCTCGGTCGGAACACTGGGGATGTTTAACCACTGCAGTCCACCCTGCCAGCCTGCTCCCCGCAGGTGTCCAAGTGGCGAACAGTGGGTACAAGAAGGATCTTCCTCCCCCCTCCCTGTGCGCTTCATGGGAAAGAGGGGGCCCAAGGCTTCAGGCGTCCTGGAACTGAGGGTACACATAGCTCTGAGTGCTGTGTGGGCCTCCCGACAATCAGCTAAGGACATGTGGGCTCCCGCTGCAGCCCCGCCCCCCTTAGCAGACGGCACCAGGGCCCCATGGGAGATGAGCAGATTGTCACACAGCTTGGGCCCTCCCTGGCAGCACCCGGCTTTATCTCTCACAGGTGGGGGCAGTGACGAGGGGGCTCTACAGCTTGCTCTTCATAGAGGCCAGAGAGCTTTGGCCTAGGGCAGCTCTGAGGATTGTCTATGGGGCCAGGCTGGAGGCTTGAGACATGGCTCCGGGTATGAGCGTTCCCAGAGGCTGCTGCCAGGAGCTCACAACACCCCTTACCCAGTAACTTAACAAACCCACTGAACACTCTGGGGACCCTTGTTCAAGGCAGCTGTGCTAATGATTAGGAAGTGGGAAGCACAGAGAGATGAAGACCCCTACAGAGCAGCAGAGTGGACAGGGCCAACAGGCGTGCCCAACGGCGGCCTCTCAAACTGTGCTTGGCCACCGGGAAACATGAGCTCTGTGCTGAAGAGCTCTGTGCCGGGGAAAGGGCAGTGCCTCTGAGAGAGTGAATCCCATCCCATGCAGCTGAGAACCTAATGCTGTCACAACACACGGATGGGAGCAGCTTCAGGATGGCTGAGCAGCCTGGGGACGGTTTTCAGAGTCTGATGGGAGCAGCCAGTGCAGAAAAGATCCAGGGGTCCAGCCTGGGGTGGGACTTACTTAAGCCCATAGCCTAATGCTTCTTCCAGAAACCAGTGTATAAGCTGGGGTGTTCCCTGTGTCCTCCTTCTTCCTAGAAAGCCCGTGTCTGGCATCATAGGGAGGTCAGAGGATACTGGACCTGCAGCTGCCTAGGCCTAGCCAGGCCAAGAGAACCACAGCAGTGAGAACCTCAATGGCTCACTAGGTTCCCCTAAGTTTACAGATTGAGGGCATTAGCAAGGGTTTAAGCCAGGAGGGGGGGAGCAGAGTCAGGGCCAGTAAGATTGGAAGATGGAGAGGCTGGAGACATGGCTCAGAGGTTAAGAGCATGGGCTGCTCTTCCAAAGGTCCTGAGTTCAATTTCCAGCAACCACATGGTGGCTCACAACCATCTGTAATGGGATCTGGTGCCCTCTTCTGGCATGTAAGCATACATGCAGACAGAACACTGTATATGTAATAAATAAATAAATCTTAGCCGGGTGGTGGTAGCAGATCTCTGTGAGTTCGAGGCCAGCCTGCTTGCTCTACAGAGGGAGTTCTAGGACAGGCTTCAAAGCTACAGAGAAACCCTGTTCTGAAAACAAAACAAATGAAAACAACAACAACAACAAAAATCTATCTACGCCAATTGGAAGGTGGTATAGAAACAATCAGACCCCAGAAATAGCACGTGGGGAAGGAGTCAGGGCCACATTCACTAGGCAGTCTATGTCCATTCTGTATGTTCTCTCTAGATCAAAACAGACGACATCAGAGGCAGCCCACTTGTCCTAAGAAAAAAACAGACGCTCAGCGAATTAAGCCAACCTGCCAGGGCACACAGCAAGTAATTAAAGGTGTCAGGATGTGAACTGGAGCTGGCTGGGTGAATCTAGCATCTTCTGGCCTGACATACCTTGGCCTTCCCTTAGGCTAGGGCTCCCACCTAGCTCAGCTGGGTGTGACGGAGCCCCTGGGGCCAATGGAGGACTTGGGAGGGGCCAGCTTCTCTTCTCTGGGGCAGAGCAAATGAGAGACAATGCTGACTGCATTGTCTGGATTGAATTTTTAAACTGTACCCTTGAGACACGATGAAGATAAGACATCAACCTAGGAGAACACAGTCAGCTGGCTAAAAATACAACAATGTTTCCAGGAAAGGTGGGCACGGGACAGAGCTTGGGGTGAGGTGTGGGGTGCAGCACCAGCTCTGGAAGCCACCACCCCTCTACTAAAGATCCTTCCACTATTGGAGTGGAAAGAGAGCCACCATAGGCTTTCAGGGTAGGCAGCTCAGAGCCTGCCTTGTAGGGGCCTCAGAACACAAGTCTGGAATTGCCTGAGATCAGTGTCCCCAATCTTCAGGCTCAGCTTCCTCTCTCACTGACATGGTCAGAGAGTCAGAGAGAAGTGAGACATCGGGTGGGTCCAGCGAGGAGGCATGCCTTACCTGCCTGCCTCCCCACGTGATAGGCACGGGAAGGCTGGATGCCCTGCACAGTAGGGCAAAGGATGCAACAGCTAGGGCAGGAGCCGCACGGCAGACACACGAACCCAACCTCGCACTATCAGAGCAGGCTAGGGACTGGGGACTTGAGGGAGGGGCTGAGGGTAGATAAGCAATCCAGGGAGAGGGACACAGAAAATGTTCTGGAATTCCAGGGAAGGAGACAGCTGCACTACTAAAGGTTGAGCGGGACTGGTTGGTTCAGGGGTAGGACTTGCCTAGCATGCATAAACAAGGCCTGGGCTCCATCTGCAGCACTCTGTAAACTGGGTGTGGCAGCCATCAAGAACAGAAATTCAAGCTACACAAACAGTTCCAGGTTAACCTGGGCTACAAAACGCCCTGTCTCAAGAAAATATTTAAACTGGGCGGTGGTGGCACATGCCTTTAATACCAGCACCAGGGAGGCAGGGGAAGGCGGGTCTCTAAATTCGAGGACAGCCTGGTCTAAAAAGCGAGTTCCAGGACAGTCAGGATGACACAAAAAAAAACCCTATCTCGGGGGAAAAAAAAAAACCATAACAAAATTTAAAATAAGGCTGGGGAATGAAGTAGTCTAGAAGCACCTACCTGATAAGGGTTCCGATAAACTGACAGTCCGAAGCCCAGGAGGCAAATACAGCCCTCCACAGCCCTCAAACCTAGTCCTCCTGCACCATACTGGTGGTGGGTACTGAACAAGAAACTTCCTCCTCCTAGAACTACCTGCCTCAGCCCTAGCTCCAGCTGTTCAGGTCCTTGCAGAAGTTCTCAGCAGTGGGAGCAGCAGGGGACAGGAGGATCCTCTACTGTGACCCCCCCCCCCGAACTTTAGCTTTAGCATCTGTATGATACACCATCCCAGCAATGCCACCAATCCAACAGCCTGGTCCAAATTGAGGTGGCGAAGAACAACTAAGGGTCCTGGCAACACCTTAGCCTGCAGATGGGGGGGGAGGGGGGTAGGCCTTCGCTTCACTCCGCTGTCAAGACGCCCACAGGGTCCAGTAAGGTAGCAGACCAAGGCCCAGGCTCAGCTGGACACTAGAGTCTGTGCCAGGATGCCCCGAGGTCCCCAGACACCAAGCACCCCAAGTCTGAGGTCCCCATCTGCACAGGGGGAAGACTCAGGAGACAAGTCGGCGAACACAAGCCTGAGTAGGCTGCACTGCTGGCCCCATCGTCCCTGTTCCAACGTGGCACAAAATTCCCAGGTACCCAGGTACCCAAGAGGGGGTAGGCCTGGGGGACACTGCACCTGCTGTCTCCCATCTACCCTACTTCCATTCACCGAGGCCCGCAGCCTCTGGCACTCGGCCCACCAACTGGCCCTAGAATTGCACTGGGTGCTGGGAGAGTCCAGGACAGCAGATGTGGCCAGCTTCTTCCTCAGGGCCACCAGAGCCAGGCCAGCATCCAACAAAGGTGGGCTGGTTCAGGTGTGGTTCTTACCAACAGCCTCCCTCCACAAGGTAGACGGAGAGGCCTGCATTGGGTGGAGGTGGACCACCTTCCCCCTGGCTCTGGTACCCCTACTGCCCAGTCACATCCCCACCTCTGCCAGCCCCCAGGACAGAGAAGACTAGCAAATGAGGAAATGCACACCCAGAGTATACTTCACTCCTCTGCAAGCCTGAGTGTAGGCCATCATGGTTCCTGTAGCATCCCTGGGGTCCAGGGCCTTGAGACTTTGAGACAAAGCAGATGGCACCTGGGTTTCCATACTTTGGCTACCTGCCTCTGAGCAGTGAGTCCTGGAGGTGCCAGAATCCAAAGGGCTCAAGTGTGCAGGAATAAACTGACCCATCTGTGCCATTGGCAGTCCCTGACTAACATGTTACAGGGCACGAGTAGTGCCCCAAAAGCAGAGCCAAGGGGCCTGAGAGCCTTGTGTGCCAACAAGAAGACTAAATTCAGAAAGGGCCAGCCTTTGCCCAAAGCAACACAGTATGTCCCAGCTCAGAGCAAATCTCTGGTCCCTTTAGGGCATGTGCCCACTCGATCACAAGGAAGAGTCAAAAGGATATACAGTCTACAGTGGCTTTGGCTATACCAGAAATCCCATGCCCTCTGCTATACCAGGGATGGGGAGGCACACGGCTGGCATTAATTAAATCAAATAACAGGTAAGAGGCTACCCCTCGAGTGAGGCGGGGCTCCAGGACACAGCCACTTGGAATCACCACAGCCTTCCCCATGGCAAGTCCACTTGCCCACCAAGGAGCTCCTACAGTGGTCACTGAAGCTAAGGAGGGCAGAGGCAGGCAGAGAGGAAGGCACAGCAAAGCAGGGTACAGGCCTGGGGTCAGGAGCTAGAGTTATGATGCCGGCTGCATCCAGGCTGGTCCTGTCTGGATGCAGCGTAGGGTGGGACAACACGCAGGCTGCGCAGTTGTCTCCTGTGGTGGCCATGCCAGCCAGAGAGATGCACTTGTGGGTGGGCAGGGGGCATCCCACGAGCTGGTGGCCTGGTGCCTCTTACCTCTGGGCTCCTCTGCCTGTTTGGCGAGTTTGCGCAGCGCGGCAGCAAAGCTGGAGGATGGCGCGGCCTGGGCCGACAGCGCACTGCTGGTGGCCGGGCTACCGGTGGGCACCAGGGCGCCATTGAGTGGCGAGGGGGTGAGGGGGTTGACGGTGGCGGTGGTCCTGGTCGCCGTGGAAAGCATCCCTATTGAAGGGGACTTGGGCTCATGGCTCATGCCTGAAACAGGAAAAGAAGAACCAGTGTCACCCAGAGAGCAGAGCGCCAGCACCAGAGGGGCTGCAGCGGCATGCAGCAGGAGCCGAAGGCCACGAGAGCAGAGCACAGCCAGCACTGCAGACAGCAGACCCATTCCCACAGTCCAACTGACCCTACGGGTGTGAGGGCACCTCAACGACGCTGGCCCCTGGACCAGCTCTCCAGAACCAAGCCTAGAGACGGTACCCCAAAGCGTCATATCCAGGGCCCTACCAGACCCAAGGGTCGAGGAGGGAGACTGAGGCAGGGCCTGGAGCACAGAGCTGAAATGACCAACGAGACAACACAACAAGCAGCTGACAGTTACGGAGCGTGGAACTACCAGTCATCTGCAACAGCATCCAAGATGCCTGCACAACTGCCCATAACACAGAGAAGGAAACCCAAGGCCCCAGTGGGGGGCGATGCAAGCGCAGCACCTGTCACTTCTTAGGCCAGCCTGGGGTCCTACCTTCCCTACATTCCCTGACTCTCCAATCTACGTCAGACAGGAAGGGTTGGCAGCAAAGGACACAGACAACTACAACCCCTGGTGAAGCCCTTCTTGGCCTTCCAGTCCCCGGGGCAGATAGACAACAACACTCAAGCCACAATGCCAGAGAAGAAGCTCCCACAGTCCTTGGCAGAGTCCTGGTTTAGGAGGCCACCCCAAAGGTCTCATCCATGACTGTGAGCCAGACCTGCCCAGCTAAGCTTCACAGTCCCTGACCCACACCAGAGACGCCAGGCACCAACCTTGGGGCAATTTACGATGTAGCACAGGGTCTGGAATGAGCCGTTAACCAAAGTTGATCAGAAGCCAAGAAATGCCAATCCGCACAGACCTGAGCCTCAGCCTCCACCAACACTGCACAGCTACCTCAGGTGCCACCAGCTCCTCCACCCCAGCAAGCCGGCACCTGCCTCCACCCCTCATTCCATTCAGTGAAGGTGTCCTTGGACTCATTTCATAGATATGAGTGGGTAGGCCCAGCACAAGGTGGCTCAGAGTAGGGCTGGGACCACTCCAGCACGGCGGGCGCTATGTCCTGTGTGGCACAAGCTGCCTCAGACCCAGCTACCCACACCAGGCGGGCGCCAAGGCAGATGGAGATGCTAAGAGCTGCAGCTCGCTGTACAGCTGCAGGCTTATCTCCCGAATCTGAGGAGGAAAATGTGCTACTGTGGGGGCTTTCAAGATGCCTAGGGGGTCTGAGCAGACACGCCAGGCTCAGTGGGCGTGGGGAGATGGCAGAGAGCCGGTAGAGCACAGAATGTGTGGTGAGCAGGACCTCTCCCTCCGTACCACATGCTATCAGTGTCCCCATCATGCTCCTGTGGGGGACCCACTCCTGGGGTCTCCAGCAGCCTCGGGTCCAGAGCATAGCTGCCCTTCCTCCCACTCTTAGGGGGGTCCCCCAAGCCTAGGTCCTGGAGGTATCAGTATGTTCCCAGCCTGGGAAACTGCTCTCATGTCAGGTCACTTAAAATAGAATGCCAAATGAGCGGCTTCATTAGGGGGAGTCTAAAATTAGCATCACTCCTCACATGCGCACATGGGGCTGGTGGGGGAGGGGCAGGGAACAGCTTCGGGTACCGGAGACACTGCCAAACTGGGGGTGCTCAAGAGTCCCCTCACTCACTGGCCCAGACCCATCAGAGCTGGTGCCTGTTCTGTGCCTGGCATCCCCCGGAGATAAGCCACCTCCAACAGGCAGGGGCAGCAGGAGGGGAGAAGTGGGCACAGGATGCTTGCTCTCCCTGCCCTCATTAGGGGGTATTTATTAACTTCTCTCTGCTCCCAGCCGTTGACTGAACCCTCATCTATGAGATCACCTCATGTGAATTCATTATCCTAACAGCTGGGAATAAGCTCTGTGGCGCAAGGGCCATGATGGATGAGGCCAGGGGCTGCCTGCACAGTCCACGCAGATCAGCGGGGAAGCGAGCCTGGATCCAGGCGGCCTCCTGCACCACCCTATACAGGCTCCTTCCTGCTGCTTTGTCCAAGCACTCACTCGCAACCAACTCAGCCTCAGTTTTCTTCTCTCTAGATCCATCCAGAACTCAGCTGAGAGCCACCAAGAGCACCCACAAAACAGCCCAGGACAGCCAGGTTGCCTCGTGTACCCTGCCTTGCCTGCCCCATATAGAGCGTTTCCTCCCCTTTCCCTGTATAGGTTTCTAACACAGCCAGAAGCATCATCGCTTTCGGACCCTGCCAAAGGTCTGACCCCAGGGTACCAGGCAGGTGATGATACTGTCCAATTCACCTCACTCTGGTCCTGCACTGCTGACCCTAGTGGGCTTCACAGGGCCGGGGCGGGGGGTCTCCAATGCCACTTCCCTCCTGCTGTATGTCAGGAGTTATTAATCAACCCAGCCTCCCTCCCGTTGAAGCCGTAATTACTGTCCCTTTCATCCCAGCTCCTCCCAGCACCAGACCTCAGGCTTGCTCCTTCTGCTCTGTAATTACCAGCTAATAGCTGAGATGAATTTTCTGGAGGCCCGGTTCAAGCACCAATCCGCCCCCTCCTCCCCCAGCAGCCCCTCACCCCGGGGTAATTACACCCAGGGAAGCTGCACCCAGCAGAGCCGAGCTCTCAGGCAGCCTGGACCTGGATGCTCTATCTGCCCCTCTCCATCATTTCTCGTTACTGCACACTGAAATGTTTGTGAACAGACAGGAGCCGCTCCAGTCCAGGCTCCATACCCGCCCCCCTTGATCCCTGCTACCCTGAGGGTGATGCTTCCGAAGGTCTAACAAGGCTGGGGTCACCCTGCTGCAGGGACCCGGTGGCTGCGGTAGTACGGGGTGCCACGTGATCCCCAGAGCCTGGACGGCTTCATAATAAATTCATTATTATGTGTGCTGCCGGCTTGTTCTGAAGGCACCCACGTGAGGCAGCTCCACGGGTGGGGTAGGGAGGCCTGCTGATGTTCAATAGTGACAGGCTGCTACCCGTATGCCCAAGGTCAGTTCCCCCAAGGACTCCCCCAGCACAAGGCATCAGAGCAGGGAAAACAGCAGATGGTGGCTCCTGACCCAAGACCCTGAAAGCAGAGAAAACAGCAGGCAAGTGGGGGTGGCCTGGATATGACAGGGGCTCTGATCTGGGGGTCAAAGGGGAATAAAGCAGTCAGGCAGAATGAGGGAGGCAGAAGAGGCTACCCTCGGCTTGGAGTGCAGTTAACGCCTAAGCAGCCTCTGGGGTTCCCTGCAGCCACAGCAGGGCAGAGGATAGGGACACCTTGGGTTTGCTGACACTCCTCAGCGTCTCCCTGTCCACCGCCAGGCTGTCAAGAACCTGCTGACTTAAGTGTTCAAAAAACAAGAGGGCCACACGAGTGGCTCAAAAATGTGCAAAGAAATGGTGTGCAAACTTGTCACCTCCGGTACTCAGAGGGCTGAGGCACGAGGATTGCAGGCTCATTGCCAACCTAGTGAGACTTAGTGAGAACCCATCTCAAAACAAGTAGTAAAAAGGTGGCTGGGGAGGTGGCACGGGGCAGGGCCCAGAATGGCAAAGTAAGGGAGGGAAGGAGGGCAAGAGGAAGGAGAGAGCCAGAAGGCTCTACAGCTGCGGGAAGGGAGGGCGAGACAAGGCGGCACTGCGCTTGGCCAGTGTGTGGCCAGTTGACAAAGGCTTCCGAGAATCACCTGACGAGGTACAAAGCAGCAGATCAGGAGTCTCAGGGGTTCCCAGGCGGCAGCAGGGATGGAAGGGAGGCAACAGATGGCAACGACATTTGACGCGATTATTCTAAGTGGCTGCTGTGTGTGAGAAGCCCGGCGTGGGCAGAAGGGCTGCAGAGCCACCCACACCAGCTAGGCAAAAACCCACCCGAGAAAAAGGCCGCTGAGGTCGGGAAGCCAGTAACGAGGGCTGAGGCTACTAGCAGTTTATAGCCCAGCAGCATCCCTGATGGTAACCTAATGACAGACGATGGGACTAGCTTGGAGTCAGGCGCGTGCACGTGGCTTCTGTAATAGTAACGCTCCCTTCCTGCAGGTGCCCTTCACACCACAGGATCCCACAAACTAACCTGTGCAACAGGCAGGCAGGACGGCCGTCAAGTCACATGGCTCAGGAGGCAGAGCTGATCCTGTCCTTCTACAAAACCCCTTGCCAGCTGCGGCTAACACTGTGGGCAGGGACCAGGGACCTCGCTGTGCCCTGTCCTCAGCGTGTCTACTGCCATCTATCCCATACTGCCTCCCGGACATAGACGCTCTGCCATTCCCCAGAGGGCAACTGAGGCTGGAAGAGCCACACCTTGTTCTAGGCTCCAAGTATGTTTGCTCTGTACTGTACCACCGAATCGGCAACCACTGGGCAGAAGGAGATGCTGGGGAATGGCCCAAATAAGGTTCAGGAACCCTTTAGCAGCACCTGGCCTGACAGCTGCAGACAGCTGTCGTGGGGAGCCCACCACATGCCTTCAGTTACAGAGGGACAAGGAGGACAGGCATTCTGCTGCTCAAGAGGCAACATCTCCCAGCAGCAGCTTCTGTATACTGCAGCAAGCCCCGTGTGGCCCAAGGCACCTTCAGACACTTCATCAGCCACAAAGAGCCCTTTCAGCAGACACTGCTGGACTCCTCAAGTCCCAAAAAGAAAACACCCAAGCTGTCCAGGACTGAGGCTATGTGCTTTCAAGTTTCCACAGGATGGAGGCCAGGAGCCAGCAGGTCAAGGACAGGGCCCTGAGTGGTCGACACCTGCTGGGAGGCTACAGGCCTGTGAAGCCCAGCTCCCCAGTGATTCCCAGGTTCCACCAAGACAGGCCCTCCAGCCCCACTTCCTGTTTCGGCTGGAGGAAGCTGAGCAGACCCAGGGGACTACATGAGAAGTTGGGACGGAAGTCCTAACTCAAAGCCTCTCCCACAAGGCCCTGTACCCAGGACAGAACTACAGACTGAGCCACACACCAGCCACTTCTCAGCGTATCAACAGGTGCTAGGTGCCAGGCAGATTCCC